AATTCTATAACTTTGCAAAGAAAGATCATGTAGAGCTGGGAGGTATCTCATTTTGATCAGAATTCCGCGGGCTACAATTTTGCCTCATTAAGAAAGGTGCTGGTTATCTTTTTAGAGTTTCTGAAAAACTGGTTTTCCAGAAAACCGGGTCTTAAAGGGCCCTCCGCCCAAATCCTTTTAGCCTTTTTGCCTACTCGAGGTCCTCTATCGAATGATGTATGAACGAACGAAATCGGAGCCGGACACCTAGGGCGGTTCCCTCGTAAGTACGCGTGGTTCAGTAATATATGTGCGAGAAATGCTTTTCACAAAGTTTTCTGTTAAAAGTTAGTTAAAATAGATTTGTTTGAAGTTCTTTGAGGAACTGAGCAAGAAAAAAATATTCGTTCTTGGAGCAATCGTTTTAATTAAAATTATACCCTTTTTGGAAGAAAGAACAGTTCCATTCGGTGTTCTTCATTTTAGAAAAATTTTCCAAGTGAAGGACACTCAGCGAAACAGATTTTTACGGGGAATAAATCTTCCGATGAGGGATTGTCTCTCGCGTGAGAGAATTATTTGGCAATCCTTCTAACCAAATATTACCTTTCCAGGAAGCTAGGAAGACTAACTACAGAATCGGATTGTACGTAGTATGTGTACCGTTCGATGGGTAATGCAAACACTAAGACATAATTAACTCGCTCAATGATAATAAACAGTCTGACGATGGCGAGGGTCGTATATGTTACCATTGAAGTACACGATGAATAGCTATGCTCTTTTGGTCTCCGTTCTTAATTCATCCAATGAATTTGTTTGAACACAAACCGTACTTATATAATCCATGTCGATCTGAGAAACGTGGTTAAGAACTTTTCTAAGAATTAAGATGTTGCTTAGTGAGAAGTAAAATATAAAAAAAATGTCGAATCAATTATGTATATTTTCAACGGTGTATGAATGGACTTGTTTTTAGATAATTGAGTGGCTTAGAAAATTGGATGAACCATGATATTCCTGTTTAATATAATGAAGTAACTATATAGTCATCTGAACAATCATTTTTCAATACTGTTACGTAATTCCTTGAAGAGCACAGAATAACAACTTTTTCGTTCTGTGTTATTGTCAACAATTATCTTTATAACAAGCAACTGAGTAATTTTCTTGTTCTTACAAACGCAAAGAGAGAAGGAACGTGTTTGGTTATTAGCGCATCATTCACGCTATATATACGAACATTAGTCCTAGTTAAAACATTGAATGAGGTTTATTTCTTAGTCAATTAAACATCCTTCTAAGGAGGACAAGTCATATTTTTTATTAAGAATAACTATGACTTTCACAGTTGAAACATGTGGCCGTTTGAACTTGAAATGCTTATCTACGTACGCTTCTTTCCATTCGACAGATATCTTCTAAAAACATAAGATACACGTAAAATTTTACTTATAATGATGTCAAATGATTGTTTTCAATCACAAAAAAGAACAAATTAGACCGTATCCTACAAAGTTTCTTTGCTAGTTAATATGATAGGTGTCTCCGTTTTTACTGTACTATTTCAATTAATTTATTAACAGTATTTTATTTTCCATTGAGGTTAAATTGTTGAAAAAATGACAAGTGGTGATAAAAAGAGTAAGAAAACAATAGATTGAAATCGAAAGTTTTTAACTGAACTTTCTCTTTCATACAGATCAATCAGAACCTGCTGGAGATGGTATATCGTTTAAAGCAAAATTATTTGGTAAGTGATACAGTATAGAGCACATTGCTATACGTAGCTATGCTGTTACATTAACAGACGATTAATGAAGTCGATGGATGATTTTTACTAGCGACCGTAACTTTTGAACCCTAGTTTCTGGAAAGAATACTCTAATACAAATGCGTTTATTCGTATCACCTATATCATCAAAGCTTTACCTCCTTGATAATTTATTGTAATTTGCCTCAGTCAATGCTGAGCCTGTCTTTTTCTTATCTTCTCGTCATTTTCTCAAAACATGCAATTTATCTGTGTGTGTTACAATGTATTGATTCAATGGAATATTCATACAAACGTATTGTTGGAGATTTGTTTTGCATGAGCACATCACTGGAATAGGACAAGTCGATTTGAATACAGTTATCTTAATTAATCGGTGAATTTCTGTCAGTACATAAACTGATACTGTTGAAGCCATGGATTAGAATCCATTGTAGAAACCGCTGAAGAAACGAGAAACGACTGACCATACAAAAAAAATTCATTTGATGAATTGAACAAAACACGTAATTGACAATCACATTCGGGATATTTTGAGCACGATGAACAATTATATGGAATTCTGAGTCCATCTTTTACTGTTTCTGCTCTGACTTTTGACGCCTCGCATTCGAATCGATTTCTTATTCTTGCGTTTAAACAAACTTCTCAACAAAATTTTCCGCTTTTTTAGCATGATGATAAATGAAAATATTATGAAACTGTTGAGGAAAAAGAGTAATAACATAGATCTCAACCACAGACAAATGGTGCGTGCACACATTTTAACAAGAACTAAATCAATAATACTGTATAAAAAGGCGTGGATCCTTCCTAATATAAATATTCGTTTAGATATAGATATAATATTAGATATAGATATATAGATCCTAATCCTAATATTTTTAAATAAATTCAAAAATCGTGCAGATTTCCTTTTCTTTCAGTTTTTCTTCAGTTCTTTTTCTTCTGTTTTTAATTGAATGGAAAAAGAATTCATGTTTTCTTACATTTGATTGATATATCTCTATTAATTTCAATAATGTCTTCTATTTTAGGTGTTGAAGAATTAGATGAGAGTGGTAAAGACCAAGTTTGTTTAGACGCTATGACCAGATTGAAAGCCTTTGTAAAATCAAAAAAAGAATCAAAGCAGAAAATTCGCATAACATTCACATCATCTGGTGTTAATCTGATCGATGAATCAACACAAGTGAGTATGATTTTATTTCAATATATTTTTTAATTAACATTATAATCTCTAGATGAGCTTGGGTTTTCATGAAATAGAACGTATATCATTTATTATTCCTGATCCGAAAGATAAACGAACATTCGGTTATATTTATGAAGAGAAAAATGATAGACACCAATTTTGGGCATTCAAAACAGAAGGAGCAGTATGTGTAATACGAATTTTTTGAAAATATAAACAATATTCTCATTTTTTTGCTTTAACAGGCTGCATTAGTCGTATCAGAACTCAATCGAATCCTTGAAATAGCATTTGAACAATCCAATAATAATCAAGAATAATCGAACATTTAAAACATTTAAATAAACTTTTTTTTCATTCTATTTCGTTTTTTATGTAAACTCCGATCGAATGCAATTTAGATTTTTCCAAGTCTAATTAGGATAAAAGAAATAAAATTGTTTTTAACTCAAAGTTTATGTCTGAGGCTACAGCATCATTTAGATCCAATTTTAAAGTCAAAACATAACCGTGATCAGCATGAAAAATGTGAATCGAATGACTAAACGAGAGATTTTTTGACGATAACGCATTTACGAGATCAAGAACAAGTTTTTTAACAAGCAATAAACTTTCTATAATTGACATCAAACTCAATTCAGTTTTTCATGTAGTAATATGTAGTTTATTTGCTTAGAAAAATATAATTTAAATCTGATTTTTAAACAAAAGAACTGTATTTTCAAGCCATTTATATCTGTTTGTTTTTGTTGTTTATCTTTCTGAATAAGAAATCTTTTGTATCATCGATTTGCGGACAAATACCGCAAATAAGATCTACAGGATAGTCAAACAAATGTTAAAACTTAAAGTTATTGACTTATTTTATACAAGCATAAATTTAGATAAAAAAGATGTTTTACGTTTATTGAAACTATTCAGATTGATACTACCACAACCAAATTTATTTTCAACTACATGAAAAAAATTATTAAAATTAGTGGACAGGTATTACTTATCATCAACAGAATATCTGTGTTTAAAATGTGATACGTTATGTTATACTTCAAAATATGATTAAAAATAATGTGTTAATCCTAAATGTTTATTGAATAAATGTACTGATATTACTGAGGCTGCCACTTTGTATATTAATACTCGCAATTACAAACAATATTATATCGCAATCAAAATATTTTAAATAAAAATGACTTATTTCCAGAAGGTGATACATATTATGGTGAATTTTATCAAACAGATCATTTACAGGAACGTAATGCAGTAACAATAATACTTCACTGTGATGGTGCTCCATTAGTAGAAACATGGAAATAATGTCTTATTTTCCCTCTACACGGTTGGAAATAATATTTTTCCAGGGGTGTAGAGCTGAAACTACAAATGATATAAAAATTTATTATATACCAAATTAATGTTTATCTAAAATGGAATTGACGTGTACGACTGATATTCTGTATGACGATTATTGGCTGTAGAACTATGGAAGTTTCTATCGAGTGCATCATAATGATTAAATTCTGAGTGTAGCAGTGCTTTGAGTAAAAGTCCCGTAACTTCAACAAAACAAACGCTTTTTCGATCGGGTTTGTTTTGATCAGGAATCATTGCTTTTCTATGACTAATTCTGAAATCAAAACATCGATCAGGTTTTCCATTTCTTACTTTGGCACATTGCTGAAAATGAGGAAAAAATTTTGAAACTTAGTTCTCCAGCCCACCATCTGCTCTAAAAACCATTTTTCACAGGCCAGAGGAAACAACATGATCAGAAGTAAAAAAAGAACTGAGTTCTCACTTTTGCTACACTCTTTTGCGTGAATAATTGCTGAAGAAAAAAGTCAAGTCGAAAAAATACCAGCTATACAAAGTTTTCATTTTTTTCGCCTTTCGTATAATTGAC